CATTTTGGTCCAAGCTTTTCCGAATTGGCCTGATCGGAAAATCCCGAAGGGTGATTTTCCTAGCAAAGATCCCATATTATTAAATCTTATAGCAAAGTATAATCTAAAAATTTAATTTAAGTCAAAAAATATAAGAAATCTGAAATAGATCGATTTTTTTTTAATGATATACAAACCGCAATAATAATAATGATCATAAATGATTTGTGACTATAATTAGGTTTTTGCATTATATTTAAGTGTCAGTTTCACTATATTAGGCGCTTATATAGATTGGTTGGTTAGAAGAAACTATAAGTCAAATTTTAAAATAAATCTACATTTCATGATAAATCATGAAAATAATTTAAATTTTTTTTAATTATTAGACTTCACCTCACTTAACCATCTCTTCGCAATATAGTTAGCTAAATTCATAGAAGGCCTTTCAATACATTTAAAGTAGAACCATGCTAAAATAAATGTTGTCACAAATGACAACATCACTGCATCCAATATCACATTAGCCTTCTCATCTTCATTTGATTCTTTGTCTGCCGCTTTATATCCAATAGAAGTCACATATTCATTCACAAACGTCATTGCAATTGGATGTAATAAATATATGCTAAATGAAATTTTTCCACAAAAACGTAAAAAATCACAAGAAAACGCATTTACAAAAGAGCCATTTCGGGAAAGTAGGGCAAAAAAAATTAGTATTGCATCGAGCGAACCACCAAGTTTTCTTTCTAAAACCATTTCACTGGTGCGAGATAAACCAAAAACTTTTTCAGATATATGAGGTAACGTACAAAACTTCAAGAGAAGTAGGAAATAACATCCAAAGTCAAAAAAATATCTTGCAAACTGATGTCGACTCGGTAATTTACTAATAATTAATTTAACAAATCTCGATCTTATAAGTGTGGATATATTATAATCATTTGATTTATCGGCCAGAGAATTCTCTTCTTCTAAGCTCAATGGTAACAATCCAAGACGAATTATTTCTCTATACCAAATTGCACATATTGATCCGACCAAAAAGATATGAACAATTTCCAAAAAACTGCTTTTGTAAAATTCCTTGCGGTCTTCACTGTGTGCTATTAATAATTCTGTTCGTTTAGTCACAATAATAACATTAACAAGTATTCGACATATCCAAGTACCAATCGCAGGTTTCTTAAAGTAATAGTTTGTAAGGAAAGCACCAAAACAAGCTAACTCCACATATCCGATGACAATTATCGGTATACATAAATAATACTATAAATAACATGAATTTTAATATATTATGAAATTTTGATTTTGACTGGTGAAAATTATAAAAAATAGAAAAATAAGTACCATTAATTCTATAGGAATAGTCCAAAAAATAGAATTATTATCCGTTATAAAAAACAGATGGGAAGTTAAAGTCGATGAATCCATAAAGTTATTATATGCATTTCTTAGGAAGCCATTATATGCAATAAACAGTAAAAGAATCGCATACGGTGGGTATACACGCATAAATCGACGAAGAAAGAACTTTGACCAAAATTTTACTGGTATTTGACATTTTGGCAATATTTTTTTTCGGATATAAGAATAGAAAGCATTATCAGGTTTTTTTTCTTCTATTTCTTCTATTGAGGATATGCCAATCTAAATTTTTCAATAAATGATTAGCAATAATAATAAAATAATTTCAATTAAATATAAATAGTAAGACATTACAGTGTTATCAGAATCCGTCGATGATAAGAGTGGAATGATTGACAAGTTTGTTTCGAGGTCCACGCCACTTTCTAAATGATCAATTCTATTTACAACAACTGAATTTGTATCTTTTTTCTCTTCTCTCTTTTCATGATACCGTTCCCAATCCAATAACGTTCGAAAAGTAAGTAAAAAAGCGGAAAGCACAAAAAACGTGATTACTCCATAATATCCAAAAATGTCGAATGTCCTAAATGCAAGACGTTGGTTATATATTTGGGTGTGGGCATAAACAACACATAAAGCTGCTACACCACGAAAACCATCAAGGAATGTAGCATGGAATATGGAATTATTTTGATTTTTATTTGAAGTTGGCGGAGACTTCATTCTTTTATATAGCTAATTTAAAGAAAAAAAAAATCGAGAATATAATTTAATATAAAATTTTTCAGTTCTTCAGCTTATTGGAAGTAAATGAGCTCAATTTAATGCATATAATGTAATTTCATATCATAACAAGATAAAACGTCGCGCTAATGCAGTAAGCCTTAAGAATTAGATAAGTTTGGAGTAATTTTCGAGCAGGGAAAAATTGACAATTACATTTATTTAATATGTCAAACAAGGTGAACGTAAAGATTTCTTGAATTAATAATAAAGGCATGATGGTGCGCAATAATAATAAGTATATATTTAAAATATATGTGCTACATACAGAGTTTCGGGCGATTTGCAGATCAAATTGGGCAAAACTAGTTTTGGGTAAATTCAATAGTTACATATTGCATATTATACAAAGTTCAACAGGTATTTGATTGAACAAAAATGAAGAGGATAAAGAGTTGAAAGAATAAGATAGTGTCAACCAAACTTTTTCATGATAAAAAGCGTAAACGGAGAATAAAGATTATAGCTATAGGTTTGTTTCAATTTCATTGACTGCAGCATTATACTACTGCTACAAATAGATTTTATATTACTATTACTCGATCAGAGACTTGATTGGTATACAACGAAAAACATGTGGAAATAGGCTCACTATCGTTAGCAAGCTCTAATCCTTGTAAGCACGTTTAAAACCTGATCTACTAAGGTCCATCAATGGCACAGCCAAACGCAACACTTTACAGCCCCTATGGCCAGGTCTGAGTACAAACATTCTCATCAAATGATAGTCCGAACCAATTGTGCTACTAAGCACATTTGCAAATAGCGAAGAATCATATAGCTAAAAAATGAGGATTAGGACAAGTATGTTATTAGAAACTTCTATGGTCCTTTAACTGCCATTGCAGCTGCAGAGCCTAAATGTCGACAACCAGAGGTCATTGCATTGTTATTGCACTTTCCCTATAATGATAAGTGCATATAATTTGATATTTATTTAATATTATATATAGATTATTCTCCATAATGAATATTTTATTACCAACAATGTGCGTTTATTAAAGGTTGAGTATATTGAATTTAGCAAATCTTCTTTTATTGAATAACACACATGGACGTATTCAAAATCTCCATATGCGCACACTCTATAAATGCACTTCACATGGACTTTCTCTATAATGATAAGTGCATGTAATTCTTTAATATTATATGTAGATTATTTTTATAATGAATATTTTATTACCCAACAACGTGCATTTATTGAAGGTCGACTATATTGAATTTAGAAATAACGCACATGGGTGTATTCGAAATAACGCGCAAGTCAATTAATTAGCGCACAGGTGGTCGTTATTTCACGCTTATTCGGTAATAGTAATATGATATAAACCCATTGGTTAGCAGCTCCACGATCGGCTCCAAAGTTTGAGCCGGGCCGTTTTTAGAGCCGATGAGTAGTGATCCGAATCGACTGAAATTTTTAGTTGACTAGTCCTAGTCAGTCGACTAATTTCATGACTAGTTGACTAATAAAGTAAATATAATAAACTATATACAATTTATTAGTCACTTAATCGAAATATTGGTTAGCTATTAGTCTATATTAGCATATTAGAGGTTTTTCAAATTTCATGCAATGGAATTTTGGCCCACATTATGAAATTCTGGCCTGCATTATGGCAGCTTGCTGCTAATACGGACCAGAATTATGAGGTTCTGAAATTCTGGCCTGCATTATGGCAGCTTGCTGCTAATACGGACCAGAATTATGAGGTTCTGAAATATTCTGAAAACTCCGAAATATTCCTATGCAACAATAGTCTATACGTTTATTGTTTCTATTTTTAGTTGATGTTTAGTCGATTAGTTGATTTTAGTCGACTTAATCGACTAAAACTTAGTTGATTCCTATCACTAGAGCCGTCACATCACTAATCACGTGTTAGAATTATCTTGTAAGAGATTATATAATCCTGGTTTGATTGGAACTTCCCCTGGATCGCCACCAAAATACTAATAAAATTTTTTCGATCACGTGAAACTATCCAATAATAAATCACG